ACATGGCACAAACCACCCTGCACATGGCACAAACCACCCTGCACATGGCACAAACCACCCTGCACGAGGCACAAACCACCCTGCACATGGCACAAACCACCCCGCACATGGCACAAACCACCCTGCACGCACACCCAGCCCCGCACGGGCACACCCACACCGGGCACGTGCTTCACACATTCCCTCCCACGCTCAGCCCACCGAATGCACACCCTCTCTCGCACCTGCCCCTCGCTCCAAGCACCCCTGAGCACCCCACACACGCCCTGTGGGTGGGTCACACCCCACACCCACCCCGGCACAGGCACAGACACGCTGTGGTCACACTGCTCACACGGGCACTCCCCACACAGACACCCTGCATGTGCCCAGCCTGAGCAACACACAGCACCCACCCCCTGCCCGCCGCCCTCTGGGACCCCTATTTACACCCTCCCAGCACGAACTGATGCTCCTTTTCCCTCCCCACTCCCATTCGGGCATCAGCCAGGTCTTTGCTGGCAGGTCGGGGCGATGCAGCTCCTTCCCCTCACCCCAGGATTACAGCTTTCCGTCCCATTTCCATGTCTGCCGACATCCTCACGGTGGAAAGAGACCCTTAATCCCCAGCAAATACTGCAGGAAGATTTCAGATGCCGGATAAAAAGCTTAAAGATGAAACGTTGCAAGGGTTGAAAATGCTTATAAGCGTCACCAAAACGGTTATTAGCCGGGGGACGGCGCTGGGTCACTCCTGCAGTGCCTGGGGACTGACGCTGGGTCCTCCAGCGCTCCAGGGCCAGCCTTCCCCGTGGGAGAGGCTGGAGGAGAGGAGCTGGTCTGGAAGGAGGGACTTGGTCCCCTCCAGGGCGGGACAGAGGGAGCTCGGGTTAGCTCTCAGTCGTGGTTCTTTCATAAAATCCTCCACTTTAGGGGAAATCTGACTTTCAGCACCGACAGGTGCATTGGTCTGGTGGCACCTGAGAGCAGAGCCAAGTGCAGGGTGCCCACGGTGTCCATCTCCAGGACCCTGGGTCAGTCCCCAGGACACCACAGCCCTGGGATAACGCAGTGGCAGAGAGGATTATTCCTTTGCATAACCTGTTCCTGGGGCCGCCCCACCCTCCTGTCCCTCCATCCACTTGTCCATCTGTCCCCGTACCGGGGGTCCGCGTGGGGGTCCAACGGCCCCCCAGCCCCACTGACCCCCGCAGTCCCCCCACAGGTGCCACCATGTTCCTGAATAAGTGCGAGGGGGACCTGGGCGAGCTGCGGAAGCCGGGGGACAGCGAGGGCACCCCGCCCGCCTCCGCCGAGGAGGAGCAGCCCAAGAAGAAGCACCGGCGGAACCGCACCACGTTCACCACGTACCAGCTGCACGAGCTGGAACGCGCCTTCGAGAAGTCCCACTACCCCGACGTGTACAGCCGCGAGGAGCTGGCCATGAAGGTCAACCTGCCCGAGGTCCGCGTGCAGGTAGGGAGGGCACCCGTGGCCCCAGCACCCCGGGCCTGTCCCTGGGCCGGGTCAGAGGGACCCCCCGGTGCTGGAGAGCTCCGCTCCGCTCTCGGCTCCACTGCCGCCACCTCCCTCCGGGCCTCAGTTTCCCCACTGCTCGAGGTGGGTGCAGCAACCTCTGCAGAGCTGCTCCTGACAAAGCCAGGGAAAGGGTTTAATGCCTGAGCCTGTTTCCCCCATGGGGTCCCAGTTTGGCCTGTGGGGTCCCAGTTTGCCCCACAGGCCACAGCCTCCATTTGGGCAGGGAGATGGTTTTTAGCGATTGTTTTTTCCCCTTCTGCTGGGGGCTGCTCCCATCCCTCCTGCTGCTCACGTGGGAAAGCAGCCAAACCTTGGCTGATTGAGGCCACTCCCAGGTCTTTCAGGCTGGGAAAGCGCAAGATCCTCACAGATTTGGGGGTTATAAGCTTGTTGGAGCAGGGGGGGCAGTGGGGCTGGGGAGGTTTCGCTCCCTGGGCTGCAGGAAAAGGCTCATGGGGGAACAGCACAGCCTGAGAAGAGCCCAGGGTTCCACCAGTATGGTCCCCACCATCCCTGGACTGACATGGTGAGATCAGGGAGAGGGAAAGGGCCAGTGTGCTGAAGGAGACAAAACCCCTGCAAAGCAAAGCAGTAACCCCCACACAGAAGAACTGAGATCCCCAGGCCTCAGCCCCAGTCTAAGACAAGGCAGCCTTTTTTTGGGGGTGTCCAGACTGTAAGGACACCTCTGCTGAGCTCTCTGAGCAATGACCAGTTTCATAGAATCACAGAATCACTCAGGTTGGAAAAGCCCTCCAAGACCATCGAGCCCAACTCTTCCTCCAGCACGGCCAAGGCCACCACTAACCCACGTCCCCAAAAGCCAGATCCACATGGCTTTTAAATCCCTCCAGGGCTGGTGACTCCACCACTGCCCTGGTCACCCTGTGCCAGCCCTGGACAACACTTTTGGGGAATAAGTTTCTCCTAATATCCAACCAAAAACTCTCCTGGCACAGCTTGAGGCCGTTTCCTCTTGTCCTGTCCTCTTGTCCTGCCCGACCCCCACCTGGCTCCACCCTCCTGTCAGGGAGTTGTGGAGAGTGAGAAGGTCCCTCCTGAGCCTCCTTTTCTCCAGGCTGAGCTCCCCCAGCTCCCTCAGCTGCTCCTCATCAGACTCGTGCCCCATCCCCTTCCCCGCCCAGCTGTTCATCTTTCCTCCCCCTTTGCCTCTCACAGCAGACCCTGTGCCCTGTGCTGCTCTGGGGACATGGGGACCAGCACTCCAACGAGCTGTTCCCACAGGGCCAGATGTCACTGCTGGATTTGGCTCACTGGTCCCTGTCGTTCCTGCTGGATTTTGGTGTAACTATGGCATTTTAACGTCTAGAAGCTTTGACCCAGGGGTTGGGAAGGTCGGATAACACTACCCCGAGGGCTGCTGGGTGTCTGCAGGGCCAGGGTGCACATTTCCATGGAGCAGTGAGAGTAGGGGCTGTGTGCTGACCCCTCTTGCTTTCAGTACCTCAGAGATGTCCTTGGTCTCTGGGGCTTGTGGGAGAGCTTTGGCAGAGGTGTGTGGTGTGCTGGGACTGCCGGAGCTCTGGAGGGCAGCCCCTGTGCAATGGGGTACCCCATACATGATGCTGAAGCACTCCCTGTGGGGCAGAGCATGGGGTACAGCATGTGGGGCACACTGCAAGGGACCAGCTGGGCACGGTGGAGCTCACCCTGGCTCTCACCTTGCAGGTCTGGTTCCAGAACCGACGAGCCAAGTGGAGGCGGCAGGAGAAGATGGAGGCCAGCTCCATGAAGCTCCACGACACCCCCGTGCTCTCCTTCAACCGGCCCCCCATGACCCCCAACGTGGGGCCCATGAGCAACTCCCTCCCGCTCGACCCGTGGCTGACATCCCCCATCTCCAGCGCCACCACAGTCCACAGCATCCCCGGCTTCATGGGAGCCCCCCAGGCCCTGCAGCCCCCCTACGGCGGGCACTCCTTCCTCAACACCCCCGCACCGATGGCGCAGGGCATGCAGCCCATGGCCCCCGCGCCCTACCAGTGCGGCACCCCCTTTGTGGACAAGTACCCGCTGGAGGAGGTGGACCAGAGGAGCTCCAGCATCGCCTCGCTCCGCATGAAAGCCAAGGAGCACATTCAGACCATCGACAAGACCTGGCAGCCCATTTGATGAACGTTCCCCTCTGGCCCCTCCGGCCCCCCCGGCCCCGGCTCCTGGCCCCGGTGCCGGCTCAGCCCTGGGGCAGGTGAGGGAGGACAGTGGGTGCTCAGCAGGACCAAAGCCGGTGCTGGGCAGGAATGCCAGGCTGTGTCTTCCCCCCGCCAAGCCAGCACTGGCAGTGGCAGGGAAGCCAGTCAGGTGCTGGCAGGACCCTGCTGCAGAGGAGCACCCTGGGGGAGCCCGTTTGCCTCGCTGTGGCACCAGCATTGGCTGAGGATCTGGCCGAGGCTCAGGCATCCCACTGTGCCAGCAGGCCACGCACCACCCCCTGGTCGGACACCTCCTTTCCTCACACCCCTTCCCCTTCCTGTTATTATTAATTTTTTTTTTAATGCTGCAGATTTAAACAAAACTGAACAGAAAAGCTCTAGTTTCATAGGGAGTACTTGGGGGGACGTTTTAGCTGCATTGGGGCGTGGTGCTGATCCTGCCGGGTGATGCACTGGCACTGAGAGGACGGTTGTATCGTGAGTAAAGAGATAAGATGAACGGCTGCCGCATGCTGGAGTTGGGCACTGTGCCCTCGTTAGCACAGCGGGGCTGTCAAGCCTCTGCTGGGAAGGAATTTTATTGGAGGGCATGGGAGCACCATCCCTGGGCACCCTCCTGCCCCGCTCCCTCGGGATGCCATGTGCAGGGCTGGGTCCAGGGGTGGGTGACTCAGTCCAGCCCTGGCTGTGGGCTGGGACCAGCTTGGCTGCACTGTGGCCTCAATGGCTCATCACAGGTCACCTTCTCGACCATCCCTTGGGGGCTGTGCCCACCACCCCCCTGCCCTAACACTCCCCAGAGGTGCCAGTGGCACAGAGCTGCCAGAATTGTGCTGGTGGGAGGATGGGTGGCAGTGGGACCCCTGTGGCCCATGGCCAGGGCTGGCAAGGGGAGGGGGCCAGCTGGGAGCCCTGGGGTCTCTGCAGCAGGGATGTCAGGGTGTGCCAACCTTACCTCCCAGCCAGCAGCTCCTGCCAGATGGGAGCTGGTGGTGGTGACAAGGTGCCACTCCCCCAGGGGTCCCCAGCTCCAGGGGGACCCTGCCTTCCCACCCACCAGAGCTCAAGGCACAGCCAGTGTCACCTCACTGGCAGCAAGGGCCAGCAGGCCCCCCGTGCACGGCTGAGCCCACAGTGGCTTTGAGGTGCTGAAGCCCAGCTGGGACAGCGAGAGAGGTGGGCTCAGCCCTGGGTGAGCAGGAGCCCCCGGGTCCCTGGGGAGGCCAGATGAGGGCCAACCTGCTCCTTCCTCACACTGAAACAAGATGTTTCCCCAGAAATCTTCCTGCTTCGGACCCGACGGCAGCCACCAGCCGGGGCTGTGCTGGGGCAGCCCCGTCCCCAACGTGTCCCCGTGTCCCAGACCCCGCTCGGTGCCAGCGCGCCCGCCCGCCGTCCCTCTCACCACCCCCCCCGGGGGTCTCACCCCGATCCAAGACCCCCGGGGCCGGACTGTGACGTCCCCAGAGCCCCGGGGTCAGGCGGGTCTGGCCGGGATGCCAGCGGGCCAGGCGAGGCACTGACCCCGGCGAGACCCTTTTCCTTGTGCCCCGTCCCCCGGCTGCTGCTGCTCGTCTGTTTCGTTAGCGACAATTAAACCTTTAACAACCCATTAAACGCATAATCGATGCTCCCCGGCCCCCCAGCCCAGCTAATGGGGTGAAGCGCCCCGGCAGAGCCGGGCTCCGGCCGGCAGATAATGAAGCAACGGCTGCGGAAGTAATGGGGTTTGATCCGGGGGACGGGACGCGCTCAATGGGGGCTGCGCTTTTCACATGACATAATTGCCGAGGCTGGCGCCAGCCCGGGGCACCCCTCGGCCTCCCGAGCGCCAACAAAGGCCGGCTGGCGCGGGGAGCGGGAGCGCCGCACCCCCGGCTCGTTTGATCGGAGCCTAATTGGGGCGAGGGTGCTCCCCCAGCCCGGCCCCGCAACCGCCACCCCAGAGCGAGGGCGCGGAGGGGCCCCGGGATGAGGATGCGCCTCCCCGGCTCCTCGGGGTTGGGGGGCTGCGTGAGTTATTTAAATGAGCTGATCTGCATGAGGTGGCACCGGTGTGCCCGGCACATGGTGGCGGGGAGGGGGGGTGGCGGGGCGCCTTCGCTTTTGGTTCCCCGCATGCCCTCCCGTGGGTGCGCCCGGTGGCTGCTCCGCACTTCCTGCACGAACAGGCAAGATTTCTGACCCCAAAAATGCCATTTCGAAGCAAGGCAGGGGCAGGAGTGCCGAGCGTCCTGCCCGGCCCACTTTTATTGGTGTTCTTCCTGGTGGAGACCCACTGGAGCCCGCCACGGTATGTGGGGCTGCGTTTGGGAAAAATCCAAGCAAAATGGCATTTTTTTTCCCCCTTAGATCCCAATCCTGTCCTGAAATCACTCACTGTCAAGATGGGGCTGGTGCCTGGGGTCTTCCTGGGGGGACTAAGTGCTACGGGCAGCTCTGGGGGCACTGGGGGGTGCTCCCAGTCCCTCGTGGCAGAGCAGGAGCCCTCCTGCTCCCCCCCCCTCTAATCTCCTCCCATGGGATTTGCCCCCTAAGCTGCTTATTTCTCTCTATTTCTCCCAGGCCTGAACGAACCCTGCCCTGCCCCAGTGCGACGCCTCGCGCTCGCTGAGCCGTGGGCTCTGGGCACTCTGCCCCCGGGGCTGCCCGCTGGTGGCCTGGCACTGTGGGGCTGGCACTGCCCAGAGATGTGGGGCCAGCACTGCCATACGTTGGCACATGGGGCTGGCACTGCCATGCCAGGGGATGTGGGGCTGGGGCCAGCAGTCCCAGCTGTGCTGCGCTGCGAGCCCCACACCCCCTGGCACAGGCCAGGATGGGGCTCAGCCCCTCCCAACACCCACCTCTGTGCACGTCCCCTCCGCCCCCTCCATCCCCGGCCCCCCAGCAGGACAGATGTGGCTCCAGGGAACTGCGGTGACAAGGGGGGGCCGCGCTGTCCCTCTACAGGGCGTGGGAGCTGGGGACGTCAGGGCTCAGGTTCTCCTCAGGGGTGTTGACCCACGAGCTGCCTGTTGCCCCCCAGCTCTCAGAGGGGGAGGAGGAGAGGGGGCTGCGAGGCGGGGGGGGCGAGGCCGCCCGCTGCAGGTTGAGCTTGGCGATGAGCGGCCGCCCCACGCTCACCCGCTGCCGCTCCTCCACGAAGTCGTCCATGCCCCGGTAGCGGTACTGCAGGCACACGGTGAAGGCCAGCTCCTGCTGCAGGGGCACCGGCACCGTGGGCACGTGCCCTGGCATGGCCGTGGCCACATTATGCCCCTGACGCCGGCCCCTGCCCCTTACCCGCAGCTTCTGCAAGCCACAGATCCGGCTGTAGAGGCAGCAGGAGGGGCAGCCGAGGCTCCAGACAGGTGCCAGGGGGCTGCCCACCTCCTCCGGGCTCTCCTTGTTGGTGCACTTGAGGTCCACGTCCAGCTCCTGCCACGGGCGGCATCCACATGGAAACCACCACGAGTGCCCCAGCCCCATTCCCCAGCAACCACTCTGGTGTGGCTTTGGCAGCCCCATCCCACCTCAGGGATGTCAGTGAGCCTGGCCTCGCACTTGGTGATGTCCGTGGGGGCAGCCACCACCCGCGTGTAGATGATCATGATGTTGGAGAACTCGGCGGCGAAGCCCAGCTGGACGGTGACGCCGCAGTCGAAGCGGAGGTGGCGGCTCTCCGGCAGCACTGGGGAGGGAACAGGGACAGCAGGGCTGGGACCTGCAGGGGCTCTGGGCTGGAGCTGTACCCACAGGAGAGGAGACTGTTGGGTCACCCCAGAGCAGGGATGCTGACATGGTGGTCCTGCCTCCAGGCTGGTGGTTCTGTGCCAGCTTCTCCTCCAGCTGGGAGGAACCTGGCAGGTGCTGCCTGCAGCCTCTTCCTGCACCTCGGGCTGTCCCTGCTCCAAGTGCCAGCTCTGCACGGGGTGGCTGTGACTCACCATGAGCCTTGGCCCACTGCAGGTTCCTGGCAGAGGTCTCATCCCGGCCCGGGGGGCGGATGGGGTCCGTCAGAGCTCGTCTCTCCGAGAGGTTGCTGCGAAGCTCCAGCGCCTGCCGGCCCCGCGTGATCTCCAGCGTGCCCATGTCTGCCGTGGCACAGGGGGTCAGCAGGGGCCACCAGGGGATCACTGTCCCCCACCACTCCCCACTCACCCTCGGCCACCTTGTCCAGCAGCACCGTGATCTTCTCGTCCTCCAGCAGCCAGCGCTTGAGGAAGGTGACGAAGATGCCGTTGGAGAGCTCGCCCTGGCTCAGCTCATAGGCTTCGGCATCCGCACACCTGCAGGGATGGGGCAGCAGTCGGCTGCATCGTGGGCTCTGGCACTTCCCCAGGAACTGGCCCCCAACAGGACGACAGTCCTGGGGAAGCCAGAGCTGGGCACCTCTGGCTCCTGTTCCCATCTCACCATCTGGCCACCGTGCCAGGGACAGGTGGGAGCTATGGCTGGATCCTGGGTGCTTAAAGCATCACCAGCCCAAATCCCTGTGCTCCAGAGGAGCCTCAGGGCTTCATGCCCTCAGGGGCTGCCCAAAGCTGAGCAGTGCCATGGACACCTTCCCGCCCTGTGAGGGACTCAGGGCTGCTGTTTGCCTACCACCTCCAGCATTGAGCAGAGGGGTACAAGGAGGGGGGAGAGACACAGGCAGGGGGGCTGAGCCCCTGCCCCACTCTGAGCCAGGAAGGGAGACTCAGCCCCGCTGCCCACACTGGGGAGATGGCAGGAGGGACCCACGTGGCGTAGCCAAAGACGATATTGGCCGTGACCTCCAGCGCCCCGACCTGCGGGATGACATCGTCGTTGAGGTTCCTGCAAGAGAATGATGCTGGGTAGAGCCAGGAACTGCCCCCCTCCAAAGCCCACCCCAAGGCACCTCAGAGCCCAGGGGCTGCCCTGTGCCCCTCTGCCCACCCGTCGTGGTGTTTGCCAGCTCAGAGGGGCAGTGATGTTCTGGGGCGTTTAGACAAAGACAGTGGGTTTAGACGGAACCCCAGGGGTGCCCTGCACCGCTCCCTCAGGATCCAGCACCCACGGGTCCCTGTGCTGGGGTGTCCCCGAGCAGGTGTGTCCCTGGGGGGGTGGCAGGGCTGGGTCACCTCTTGCGGCACATGTCGAGCAGGAAGGTGTTGAGGCCGGTGCGGCGCTCCTGCATCGCCCGCAGCACCCGCTGCACGCACAGGCAGTGCGCCGACGTGTAGGCGCTGGGCGCATCGATGGGCACCATGAAGCTGTTGCCGAAATTTTCATAGCCGTGCCCGGCGTAGTAGAGCAAACCTGCCAGGGGGAATGGAGGGCAGGTGACGTGGTGACATCCCTGGACCTGCCAGCACCCTCCTTCTTGCTCAGTCCCTCCACCAGCACAGAACCCCCGGGTTCCCCCAGGCTGGAGCTGCCCTGGCGGGTGCTGTCCCACCATAGACGCCCTTGTCGAGAAGGAGGAGGAACTCGTTGACAGCCATCTGCATCTCAGCCTTGCACAGGTCCAGCAGCGAGACCACCTTGAAGTCGAGCTGGCGGAGGAGGGCACTGAGGGCATGAACGTCCACCATGGGCGCCTGCAGCTGCTTGTGGTGCAGGTAGTGCATGTTGCCGATCAGCAGCGCCACTTTGTCCGTGGCTGCAAGGATGGGAGAGGGAGGTCTTGAGAAAGGGGTAGGATGCTTCTGCTGTCCCCACTACCATTCAGCCCACAGAGGTGACACCCAACTGTGGCCAGCATCACTGTCCCTGGGTATTGAAATGCCCTGTGGTGTCCCTGCCTCGCTGATCCCTGAACCGTGAGGGTAGGGTTGGAGGTTGGAGTTAGGGATTTGGGTTGGGAGTTAGAGTGCTGATCCACTCTCCTGGTTAAGGCTGGGGTGCTGCTTTGCTCTCCCAGTGCGCTGCACCCAAAGAACCCCTGGCTCCTGGGGTGACAGTGGTGACACTGGGGACAGTCAGAGCCCCCCAGGGCCACCACCCCCTCCTGGGCAGGCTCTTACCATACAACTGGCCGGGATTGCCACACTCTGGGGAGCCTGTGAAGAGAGAAACACAGTGCCAGGGCCCTCCAGTGCCAGGGGAGCGTGGTGGGCCGAGCAGCATGGACCTGCCCTCTCTGCCCACACCTACCTCCATCCCCTTCCTGCCAGGAGCCTCCAGAGGTGAAGAGCCGTGGGCCTGTGGCAAAGGGGGGGTCAGGGATCCTACACATGGCAGCACCTCCCAGCATGGGCTGCAGCCACCCAAAACTGCAGAGCAGCCATGAGGGCTTAATGGGGAGCAGGGCAGGGTCAGGACACCCCATGCAGGGAGAGAGTCACAGAGGTTTGTCCGGGGCCCTCACCGATCTCCACATCTACCTCCTGGCTCCACACCTCGTGGAAGAGGTTGAACACTCGGCAGCAGTAGCTGCCCCGCTCGGCCGTTGTCACCAGCTTCACCTGCCAGTGGGACAGAGCGGGAGGCTGGGGTGGTGTGTTGGACCATATTGCACTGTGCCACACTGTGCCATGCCATGGCCAACACTGTGCCATGCCGTGCCACACCGTGCCAACACTGTGCTGTGCCACGGCCAACACTGTGCCGTGCCAGCTCCATACCTGGAGCTGGGGTGCCTGAGCCCCCTCCACAGGACGTCGGTTCCTGAACCACTGGTACTGGGGCGGGGGGTTGCCGATGGCTCTGCACTCCAGTGCCAGCGTGTCCCCCTCGGCCAGGCGGCACGGCCGTGGCTGCCGCAGGATCTGCAGCCCTGCCATGCTCGGGCAGTAACCACTGGCTGGGGAAGGGACAGGGTGGCAAATTCAGCACCCAGCCATGGCAGCGCTCAGCAGAGCTGCTCCAGGCCCCAAGTTCCTCACTCATAGGCCCTGGCACCCAGGGGTAGCATGAGGCATTGTGCAAGAGGAAGACACAGGGCATGTGGCTCCTCTGTGGGCACTGTGACCCCAGCAAGCCGAGAGACCCTTGTGGCTGAGCCAGTGACTGACAGGGCAAGCAATGCCCCTCAGGATCCATCCCTGTCCCAACGGGGCCAGCGGTGCCCTGTGGGAGCTGCCCTGTTCCCAACAGGGCAAGCGGTGCTGCATGGGTGCCAGCCAGGGACGCAGATCTAGGAGCCCACCTGAGCTGGGGCTGCCGCTCTTCTCCACCTGGACGTGGGCCCACCTGGAGAAGGCGAAGGTGGCCCCACAGTTCACCCGGCAGATGTACCACTCGGGCTGGCCCGGCGGGGCGGCCGTGTCGATCACCAGCTCCGGGGACGTGGCTCCAGGCACCTACAAGACAGGAGGTGGCCAAGGAGTCAGGGGTTCCCTCTTACCTGTGTGGGTGCCCTCGCTGTGGACAGGGCACGGGGGCCCTGCTCCACATGGCACAGCGGGGCCTCACCTCCCGTTTCCCACAGAACCACTGGTACACGAGCCCCGGTGGGCCGGTGGCACAGCAGGTCAGGGACACTCGTGTCCCCTCTGCCACCACCTGTGACTCCGGCTGCACCGTGATGCGGATCATGTCCTGGACTGCAGGAGAGGAGACCACTGTTCCACACCATCCCATCCCATTCAGTCCCATCCTATCCTGTCCCATTGTACCCTTTCCCATCCCCCCCCAACAGCCTGCCCAAGCCCAGCAGAGCCCAGCCCATCCTATCATATCCTCTGTCCTGTCCCAACCATCTCATCCTATCTTGTCCCATTGGTACATTCAGTGCCATCCCACCTCACCCATTTTATCCTGTTCCAATCTATCCCACCCTGCTCTGCTCCATCCTATCCTACCTCATCCCATCCCATGCTGTCCAAACCTGTTCCATCCCATCCCATCTGACCTCATCTCAGCCTGTCCCCCATCCCATCAGACCACATCCCATCCTACCTCACCCTGCCACATCCATCCCACCCCACCCCACCCACCCAGGACCCCTCTACCATAGCACAGCCCCCAGAAGGAAGAGCTGCCCTTCACCTCATCCGCTTCCTCCCGCCGAGCCCCCGTCCCCGGTGGTCCCTCCAGCCCCGCGGTTCCCGCTGCCCGTCCGTACCGGCGGCGCTGAGGACCCGGCAGGCCTTTGTGTGCCCCATCTGCTCCAGGCAGCCCAGCAGGTACTTGAGGGTGCAGTCGCGCTCGGCCAGGAGCTGCAGCAGGCACTGCGTGGGGCTGCCGCGGGGCTCCAGCACCTTCAGCGAGCACATCTCCAGCTCCTCGGCGCTGCGAGCGCCCGCGGCCGTCAGTGCCCCCTCCCTCCCGGGCCGGCGGGCCCCCGCCAGGGCTCTCGGCGGTGTCCCCTGCCCAGGGGATGGCTCTGGGGACCCACGCGCCCCTCGCCCGGCCCACGCCAGGGCTGTGCCCACCGGCGTTTTGTCACCCGGTCGGGGACAGCCCCCGGCGATGCCCCCCCAGCCCTACCTGCACTTGAAGCGTTTCTCAGCCCCGGCCAGCTCAGCCAGCTTGCGCCAGCCCCGGCCCGCGTTATCCAGGAGCTCACACAGCCGGGCCACCACCTCCTCGCCCAGGGCGCCGATGGGCACGCTCCAGTCCCCCATCCCTGCTGGGGACACCGAGGGGACGAGCCGTCAGTGAGTCACGGGGTGACAGGGTCCCACTGGACACCGCCGGGCACAGTGTGCCTCAGCTGGGAGAGCACCAGCATGAGCTCACCAGCGTCAGGTCCCCTCCTAGCAGGAGCCTGGGGAGGTGCTGGGAACCAGCTGGGCAGTGCTGCTGGATCTGGCCACCGGCAGCCAGCCAGGAATGTCACACACTCTCCCTCCGTGAACTGTGACAGCACCCTGGGGAACCCCACTCGCCCCCCAGCCTCAGGCAAGGAGCCAGGGCATTTTAACCCAGTCCCAAGAAAGGGACTTCATGGAATTGGGGTCCACAGAACTGGAAAGAGGGGATGTCCCCTTTCACCTTCCCTGTCCCTTCAGGGACCACAGAGAATGGGGCCCAGGGGCACCTCTCCCCCTGGCAGAGGCCCCAGTGGGACAGCAGCAGCCCCCTCGTTGGCACGAGTCCTCTGTGTGGTGGCTCCAGAGCCAGCACAAACCTTTCCAGGCCACCAAGAGGGGCTGTGGAGGGGTCAGGGGAGGGTATGTGGGGGTCCTGGGGCTGGGACCCATCTTAGCTTGCCCTGACCCTGGGAAAGGTTTTGACAACGAGGGGAGCATGGCATGAATCACGTGAACAGGGGCAGCACCCAGGGAACAGCTCCTTCCTCCTCCCCTCAGGTCCCTCCCCAACAACCTGCCCCAGAGGAGCACTTGCCCCCAGGACTGAGCTGCCCAGGGCAGCTGGGTGACACTCACCCAAGCAGGGGGCTCCGAGACGGAGGGCAGGGATCCAGGTGCTCCCTCTGCTCACCTTCTGCTGGACTTGGGGGGCTGGACACGCTGGAAGTGGTGAGGGGAGAGCAGGGCACAGGACAGGCCCGGCAGGACGGGCACTCACCGCGTGGTACAGCCGGATGAGTCCCAGCAGCTCTAAGGGTGTGCACCCAGCCCCACGCAGAGGAAATGAGGGCTCAGCCCAAAATCTGCCCCGGCCCCCGCGCTGCAGCACAGCACTTCTGCTTCCCCCCGCCTTCCTTCCTGTTGTGGGGCGTGTGGGTGCACAGCTGCCACGGGGTGCCCACGTGGGCACCCACCCACAGCCCCCCAGGGAGCCAGGCACGGCCCCCAGCCCTGCTGCAGGGCACGGGGCACCAGGGACACTGCTGGGCTGGGCAGGGGCTCCACCGCCCCCTCCTTGCTATGGGGGGACCTTGTGGGCGGCTGTTTGTCCCCACAGCCCAACTCGAGCCCAGGCAGGAGCCGCAGGGCAGCAAGTCCAGGATGGAGGTGAACCAAGGTGACGGGGGCACCTCTCAGCCAGGTGAGACCAACACAGGGGCAGGACCATGGCTGGGGAAGCTGCTGGGCTTTGCCAGGCCGGAGCCAGGTGAGGACAGGCAGGGACAGGGCAGCGAGGGCCCAGCTGCTGTGAGGAAGACCCTGCCTCCACCATGCAGCCCAGCCCAGCCCTTGCATCCCAGCACCACTGCTCCTGCTGCCAAGGGAGGAAAGCAGAGCAAGGGGCCACTATGTCCCCCCTCACCTTGCCTGCTGCCTGGCAGCACCACCAGAGCCTGGTCCTCCTGCCCCCAGCAACACAGGCTGCTCAGCCCCCAAGACCCCCAGCCAGTGACAACGGGGTGAGGGGGGGCATCCCCTCCCACCCCCCTGTGGAGCCCTTAGGCTGAGGTACAGACAGTGATGGAGCACGACCCGTGTGTGGTGTGGGCTCCCTCCACGAGCCAAAACCTGAGCTTCTGCCTTCGCAAACACACCCAGAATTTGTGTTGCCTCAGACCCTGGCACAGGGGGGACCTGCACCAAGCTTGCTAAGAGCCCAAGTTTTACACAGCCTTTGTAACAGATATCAGTCTCACTCCAGATTTATTTCTTGTTTATATCAAGTGACCAAAAGCAGGAGCAGGTCCCAGTGCCACCTGTGCTGGTGCGTGGGGCAGCCCTGAGCTTGGCAGCACCTAAAACTTCTTGCCCTTCTTCAACTTGTTGCGCTGCCACGTGTTGTATTTCCGCAGCCGCCTCCAATACTCGAGCGTGTCAGGGTCCAGCTCCTCCAGCTTCTTGGGGGGCCCGAGGTGGATCTTAAAGAGCCTGGGGGCAAATGCAGAGGATGTGAGGCTACGGGAAGGAGGGAAAAAGGGACAAGGACGGGACACAGCCACGGATGTGAGTGACCAGGACGTGCAGATCCCTCACCCCCACATCCACAGTGCACCCACTCCTGTCTCCCTGACCCCAGGAAGGTCCCTGGGCTGCAGAGGGGCAGTTGCCTCCTCCCAGAGCACTTCGCTGTCCCTGTGCCTCCCGGACGGCACCTCTGTGGGGACACGGAGGGGAACAGGGCAGCACCCACCAGTCGGGGTACTCGGAGTCGGGCTTCAGGGCCACCTCCGGGCCCTCCTTGAAGTAGTTGACCCCCATGGCGTGGGTGGCGAGCATGGTGGGGTCCGTGCACACCTCCGGCCCCTTCAGCGCCTCCTTGGGCGCGCCCTTGCCCTTGGCCTTGGCGGCTGTGGGGACAAGGGTAGGGTCAGAGCAGGGGCGACAGGGATGCGGGTGGGGGAAAGGACGGGGCTCGGGGGCAGGGGCACCGCGGGGCGGGAGCGGGGCTGGGTCAGGGTCGAGGGGAACCGGGTGTGAGAGAGGGAGCAGGAACAGGAGCGAGGGGCACGAGGGATAGAGACGGGGGGGCCCGGGGGACCGGGGGGACGCGGGGCGGGGAGCACGGGCAGGGCAGGGCAGGGCGGGGGCGGTGCCGGGTCTCACCGGGTTTCTTGGCGTAGCCGCGGGCCGGAGCCCCGAGCGCGGCCCCCGCCGCCCGCAGCAGCGCCCGGGCGGCCATGGGCGCGGGGCACGGCGGGACGGGCGGGGCCGCGCCTGCGCCTGCGCGCGGGCAACGGCAGCGGCGGCGGGAGCGGCCCGGCCCGGCCCGGCGGCAGCGACAGAGCCCGCCCGGGACCCGCCATGGACAGCGGCACCACCGCCATGGACTTCCAGGCGGCCCCCGGCGGCGGCGGCAGCGACGAGCCCGCCGAGCCGCCCGCCATGGACACGGAGGACGGGCCGGGAGCCCCTGGGCACCGCGCGGGGGGCGCGCGGCCGGACGGGCCCCCCCGCTCGGCCCCGCAGCCCGGCAGTGACCCCGCGCCGGAGGAGCCGCGGCCCGGCCCGGGACCCGCCGCGGCCCCGGAGCTCGCAGGAGGCGAACGGACCGGGCTGTGCCAGGGCTCGGGAAGGGCCATGGAGGCGGAGGCGATGCCCGCGGAGCCGCGGGGCTCTGCCCGCTGGGAGCCCAGCGCCGGGAGCGCCCCGCGGGGCACGGGGAGCTCTCGGGCCCCCGGCGGCGCCGAGCCCGCGGGCATGGAGCTGGATGAGACTCCCGAGACCCGCGGCCCCCCCGACACGGCCGGGTGGGCTGAGGACGCGCAGGACGAGCCCTCGGAGATCCAGGGGCTGCTGGCCCAGCTCGAGACCCTCGACCCCAGCCTGTGTGACCGCCCGCCCGCCCCGGAGCGGGGCCCGCCGTCCCCTTCGGGTGCCGGTGCCCGGCGGTGCCCGGGCAGGTGCCGGCCCTGCCCGCTGCACGTGGCCACGGGCCGGGGCCTGGCGACGCGTCCCTGCTGCCCCCAGCACCCGGCCTGTGCCCGGCCCTGCCACGGGCTGCTCTTCGCCGAGGCCGACCGGGAGGACTTGCTGAGCCTCCTGTGCTACGAGGGGGGGCTGCCCGAGGCCGGTGCTGAGACCCCCTTGGCCCGCTCCGATGTTCTGACTGGGACTAACCTGGAGATGCTGCAGGTCCGGGAGGATCCAGCCACTGTGGAGAAGCCTGAAAGGCCGGGGAGGCCAGAGAGCTCAGAGGAAGAACCTTCCGGCAGCTGGTGCTATGGAGAGGGGCTTTGCGAGGTTGATTCCACCTCTGAGGGCACTCGGGAAGGTTCGCCAGAGCCAGCGTGGGCGGCCCTGCCTCCCCCTCCAGCCCCCGAGGCAGAGCAGCCGCCACCTCCAGGCGCCGTGACCGTGAGTACTCCGGGTGTGGTGGGGCCGCAGGAGCCAGGACTTGCCCCTTGGCCCTGCTCCCTCCTCGGGTCTGGGCTGGGGGCGGAGGGGAGCCAGGGATTTCTTTCCTCGGGTCTTACAGGGCCTTGTGCTGCAAGTGTGCCCAGACAAGACCCTCGGTACCGGCTTTGGCTCCTACTGCCCTGAAGGCGGGGGGATACTTGCATGGCTGCCTGATTCGTGTGTGCCCCGGGGCAGAGGCTGGTGGGTCTGAACAGCCCCTCTGGCCCCTGGATCCTGTGCCATCCTCCCCTCCAGCCCCAGGACCCTGTGCTGTCTCCCCTTCAGCCCTAGGACCCTATTCCTCCCTGCCCAACCCTGGGACCCATTTCCCCCAGCCTCAGGGACGCTGTGCCATCACTGTGCCACTTCTCCAGGGCCAGGCAGGCTGAATCCCTGGGATGCCAACCACAGCCTCACCTGCTCTTTCGTTGCTTTGCAGAACAGGGAACCCCCATCATCCTGCCCAGCCTTCAAAGAGGGTGAGTTGCTTCTGTGCTCAAGCAGCAAGAGCATTCAAGAGTCCTGACCCACGTGCTCTGACCCTGAATGGGGGTGGCTGAGGGTCCCAGCTGGGGAGGGAGTGCCTGTCTCTGTGTCCATCCCGGGTGGCAATGTCGCTGCAGGCTCCAGATGGCTTGTTTGATGCTTTGTTGAGGAAGTTGAGGTGCTTCGGGGAGCAGGATGGGGGGATGCTCAGGAAGGCAGAACGGGATGCCAGGTGTGCCCAAGAGAAGGGGGAAGCAGCACTGGTCCCCAGTGATGCCAGGAACCCATGTCCCAAGCACTGAGCTGCTCTGCCATGTGTAGGAATGCAGCTAATGGGCAGTAAGAGTTGGTACCCCCAGTTTCAGAGGTAGGGGAGCAGCCCCTGCTCAGTCCCTCCCAATGCCTCAGTTCCAGGCCCTTGTGACCCGGAGGATCTGCTGGACGGTGTCATTTTTGGGGCAAAGTACCTGGGCTCCACACAGCTGGTCTCGGAGAGGAACCCCCCGACCAGCGTCCGCATGGCACAGGCCCAGGAGGCCGTGGACAGGATCAAGGTGCAGGAGGGGTGGGGGGCACAGCTGCCCCCAGCCTGGCCCCCTGTGGCCGTGGGGCAGCACTCGGGGCCTGCCCAGGGATACCTGGCTGTGGGGCTGGGACCCAGCGGGGTCCTGTGACCTCTCCATCGTCTCACAGGCACCCGAGGGGGAATCCCAGCCCATGACAGAGGTGGATCTGTTCGTCTCCACGCAGAGGATCAAGGTGCTCACTGCAGACACGCAGGTGAGCAGGAGTGGCAGCACCCGTGTGCCTCTGGGGCTGCTGGAACCTTCCTGTTCGGCCTCGGGACCTCAGCTTTGTTCCCACACTGGAGGGGTGATGCCCAGGGATGACCTGCAGTCGAGGACATACATCTGGGAGGGGAAATGTAATTCCACAGCCATCCTTTCTCGTGTCCTTGGCTCTCTGTGTGGCTGCACGAGGCTTCCCGTGCGAGCTGCGCCCTGGGGAGCTGCTGGGATCCCAGACCAAGCTTCAGGGAACCCAGGCTTGAAATCTTGGAAGTTTTTTGCCTCAGGATTACTTTCTGCATTATAGTAAGAGGGAAGGGCTGTCCTGTCCCCTGGCAGCACCCAGGGACACGGATGAGTCCCTGATGAAGGAGCTCTTTGTACCCAGTGGCACAGACATGGTTTCTGCCCAGCGTGTGCCAGGCATTTGCGCTGCATCCCAGCACCATTGCTGAACCCCTCCTGCTCGCTGGGCTAATGGTTGCCCACAGGGCTGAACGTCTCTGCCTGTGTCGCCCTTGCCAGGAGGCCATGATGGATCACTCCCTGCAGACCATCTCCTACATCGCCGACATCGGCTCCCTCGTGGTGCTCATGGCGCGCCGGAAGCTGCCCCGGCGGTCGGAGGTGGCAGAGGAGAAGCGGCTCTACAAGAT